ATTTATATTTTATATTTTTCGAAATTATTTTGACTTTTCGAATAACCGGAATACCTATATGTGATAAAGCACATGGTTATGACATACTCTAGCAAGTTCTAGCTAAATATGTTAAAAAATGGCCAAGTTACACGCATTATTGCAAAAAAATCACAATTATAAATTTTTCAAATCAATTTTCAGAACGTTTTTGACATCGTACACCAATAAAAAAGCACCATCGTGTTCCCGAGCTCAAATTGCATCCGATAGACAGGTTTTTGTTGACAATTTCAACTTTGAAATTTGACATTTTTGACCTGAAGGTGACCTGACCTCAGCTTTATTCAGATGAAAATGGCCTCAAATGACACAAGAGACACCAAATTCGAAATCTATGGCCTAAATGAACCATAAAACATGTGCCACGTGACCGACTTATGACAGATTTCCGTGACCTATGATGACCTGACCCTGACCTGAAAATCAAAGTACAAGTTTGGTACCCTCAGGGTATCTAAGGCATCTGTTCACGAGTGTGTAAACCAAAAATCAGCCTGATCTGGCTTGTAAGACGGCAGCCAGAGCCCAAAAAGTGAACAAGCCAAATATCGATAATTTTTACTTTGACCTGACCTGTGACGTCATCGGTTATCTCGAGGTCAATGAAATTAGGTTTCGTTCGACAGTTTTTCCGGGGCTATCAGATGCCGTTTGAATTTTGACGATCGCCCCAGTATAGTTTCGGAGTTAGGAGGGGGCTATGATTAGCCCCCCCCCCCCCCAGTGGGGCATGTTATACTGACACAGACCCCAGTGGGGCGCGGGTTAAGGTTGTGACGGTTCAAACATCGACTCCAGCCAGAACTGTCAAGCTCAAGCGACTCCGACTTCGCAGCTCTGAATAAAAAAGAAATTATCGTCAGAGTTGCTTCCAAATCCAGCTTACTTTTGAACCTACTTATATTTTTATCATTAGGTCAAACTTGTTTTAGCATTCGTTCAGTCTTCTTAATGCTTGTGCAAGGAGCATTTGTACTTTGAAATACTTTGTGAATGACCTCTCCTTGAAATTGTATGTAGAATATATTTTACAAAAAGTAAAATACAGTACCTAATGATAAATTTTCGATCACGGATCTTTGTCAAATCACATTCAAAATTCAAATGAGACACATTTTAAATAATTGACGCCATTTATCATTTCTGTATTTGACTTTTTGTAAAATATATCCTACATACAATTTCAAGGAGAGGTCATTCACAAAGTATTGTTTTAGCATTCACAATTCACATATTGAGCAGGAGCCTGTTGTTCAGATGTGATCCATTATCATTGGATTTGGTTCTGAATAACATCCAGGTGTTTTCCTCGCCAGGTCAGGGAACCAATCACTCGCATAAAATATTGATTATCTTTTAGCTCGTTTGCTCTCACTGCCAGCGAAAACTAAATACATATGCATGTTTTTGACGTTTTTACCTATCATTGAAAATTTAAGCTGATTAAAACTCAACGGTTTGATTTAATTACATTTTATTATTGTCGTAATAAAAACAACGACAGCACCTGCACCAATTCCTCTGATCGGTAATGCGCCTTCCAACAGAATCACAGAAATACCAACCTTCTGTCTAAGCTTCAATGGTTTGAAAGGTTTCTTCTGCAAGACCGGGCATTTTTCTGACAGGCAGCTATAAAAATTGACAGCTGTGAACACAAGAGAAGCGCTTGGAGAACTTCATGCGCAGTAACAGAACAGCTGGATAGTTCCACAGTCTGTTTTGTCTTCTGCTGACGTCAGTTCCACGAGCGAAATGCGACGCTATGCCCGCTAGCTAGACAGTAGGTACGACCCAGGCACTTAAGAGCTGTACGACCTCTTACGCAGTGCGCAGGCAATGGGATTTACCGTGCCTCCCTGTGTGACGGTTATGGTGGTGTGTTCGAGAAATGGGACTTTCTGCTGTCCTGGGTGTCCTATGTGCCCTGTATGGTGATTTATGGCCATTTATTCGCCGTTGAGTCCAGGATATCTTAGACACTGACGGATGGCTTTAAAATTAGTTCACTGAAGGTGGCAACCGTGAACCGAGCACATATTTCATAAAGCACATTTATGAGTTGAGCACAATGGGGTCGTTTGTACCTGGTAACCTGCAAAGTAAAAGAAAATAACAGAGCTGCTGTAGAAATCGTCCACCTTAACAACACGGAAATGATACGTGCGCTGGGTTGCCCAGTCCGGCCGGCCGGCCGGCCGACACATATTGGGGCGGCAGCGGGGACGGTGACTGGCAGCCGAGTGGCCTGCGCTCCTCAGATTGGTCAGCCAGCGTGGCCCCCGGTCCGCAGATTGGGTCAGCCAGGTCCGATCGATGAAGGCCGGCCCCGGCGGACTGGCGAGCGGCCGCCGACCGGCAGAGGTCGAGGGCCAGCCGCCCGGCGACGCACCCTTCCGGTCACCGAGTCTCCGACACTCGCTTCCTGGGTGCTGAGCGCGAAGCAATCCTTTCCTGCCAATGAGCCACTGGCTTCCACTTTCCCGGTTCCGAGACTCCCAACAGATATTTCCTGGGGCTTAGCCACTCGACAGTCTCCCAGTTCACTCAGAAGTCCTCATCAACCGTTTGAGCTGGATGGGTTAGCTATATAACCTTGAAACTGCCTCTGGGCAGAGGTCTGGCTTCCTGACTACATATACTGCCAAGTCGGGGCTGGCCCCATTCCGACCGCCAATATGTCTAGGCGGCGGCCGGCCTCTCCCGTATAAACGCGCTCCCTTCGACCTCCGCACCGGTCTCAATGAGAGCTCTCGGCCGGCCGTCAACTGTGCTTTCATGGTGCATTGTTACGTAAGTCCCGGTCAAGTGCGACTGGAAAGCCATCGGTGCGCGCTGGTGCGCCCGCGTGGGCGCAATGTGAGCTGACGGCGGCTGATGGCTCGGCCGCGCTCGGTGCGCAGCTCTCAGCTCTGATAGTGCCACAGACGTAAAAACCCTACCGGAACTCTAAATAGAGTACAAGGGAATTTACTTGTTAAGCTATCAACTCAGTCATCATGAAAATGCAATGTTTCGTAAATTGCTTTGGTGATTCAGATATCGTTTTAGCACAAACGTTCAGGCGGATCCAGTGCCTTTTTACATAGTGCTTCATCAATTGACCTCTGTACACCTGTGTCCTGTGTACAGAGGTGTATAGGTCTATGTTTCATTCTCACCTGCTATTTATTTTCATGCTTTATGCGGTGTTGTAAAAGATTCTTTAATTTGCGTTTTGTTTTAGTAGGTACCTATTTAAGTGCCAGAATATGTAACTTACGTCTTAATTGTCGTATCGCGGTCGAAGTATTTTCAAGTAAATATTTATAGAACCATATTTACCTAAGTGCCCTTAGTTCCTCCCTTTACAACACAGGAGGATGACTTTTGACTTGAAATGATTAGTTAGCTTATAGAAAGTAGACACAGTTTTCGTTCATACGCCAGATAAAACTACCAATGCATATGTTTGGCTATAGAAACGGAAATTATTTTGGCTTTATCATCTCACGATAGAACTTCGCACTCTGTTGACGTCATTTTGATACATGGATATTAAGCAGAAAGCACAAATCTTCGAAGAATTGTGTGGCTTTGCTGGTGAAAAAAATGATGTAGCCTCCTGATGTCAGACTATCGCATGTATTTATTTGAGCGGCCGCTGTTGGGTTTTGACGCTACGACCTCGCACATATCTCCGCCTCTGTCATGGTGCTTCCGATTGCCTCCTGTCCGTCCTGCCTCCCTCGCTGACCCGACAACCCCTCCCCATGTCGGGGTCCGATCCTGCGGTAATTGCCGATCACCTCCGAGGAGGCGGCAGCGGCGGCGGCGGCGGCGGCGCCACGCGGCCGACGGGCCGGCCTCAACTGGCTGCAACGATCCGCGCCCGCCAGCTGGCAGATAATCAATGCCCGCGGCCGGACGGGACGGCACCGGCCGCCGGGCCAGAGACGGACGCCACGCCGCCGGGCGGAAGAAAGACGGCGAGAGACGGAGACTTTTAGCAGGCAGGAGACGGGGCAAGTTACGGCCGCCGGGCGAGAGATGGTTGCGTATACCCCCGCAGGTCGAGAGACGGAGACTTTTAGCAGGCGAGAGAAGAGAGACGCGACATGGGTACGATGAGAGACGGCCGCGCCGCTGCGGCCGCAGGGCGGCAGGAACGGTGATGGTGCCGGGACTAAGGTAAACGAATAAATATGCATATGCGGTTATACGTGGACGGACACTAGGAAACGGAATGTTGATTCACGCCGGAGAATTTTAAATGTTTACCAAAAATGAGCAGTAGAGATGTGTCTTCCTAAATGCCGTAAGAGCGGCAGCTGACGTCATGACATAAAAGTCAATACGACATCGAAAAGCCTCCATGTAAACACGCTTCCACTGGGCCTTTGTGCGGCAGTGGATAATTCGGTTTCCCGTCTCCGCCTACGGTCAACTACGGAAATGGCATTACCTCCCGTGGACTATGATCTCATTGTGCGGCCACCGAATCAAATGTCGCCGGCGGGACGGCAGTCGATACAAGGAGCCTTCACAGACTATGGTGACGGCGACCAAGGGATCAATTGATTGCGAACGACATGGCAGCTTTAATTTCAGCAGTGGATCAGAAACACTGCGATGGAGACGACGATGTGACGATACGTTTTAGCTAGTATCCCACCAGGGAACGAGGAGAGAGATGTGCAGTTTCCGATCGTACAGCAGTTATCCATGAACACAAGCAAAGCAAATGATTTATTTTTATGAAGTGAGCAGGATACAAATTTTATCCTAGGCTCTTCGCAGGACGTTGTATAGATATTTCTTTTCATCCTACATAGTTTCAAGAGCGTTTAATGTCGCTGTGAGTGTGTTAACATCCTATTCCGTTTTTTATCCTCCTTCCTTGCTCTCTTGCTGACTGCTGTTGCTTTTTCTCTCACTCTCTCCCTGTTTGACCACCCCTCTCTCCCTCCCTCTCTCAGATCCGGCGGCGGCGGACGGCAGACAGTCCGCCATGGAGAAGGTCTCGGAGAAGACGGGCGGCAGTCAGACGATCCGGATTCCGGGCGACATCCCGGCACCGAGCGGCGGCAAGTTCCGGCAGTGGGTGCGCGAGAACCTGCTGCTGGTGCTGACCGTGCTGGGCGTGTTCAGCGGCTCGGCCATCGGCCTGCTGGCCAGACAGACCGAGTACTCGGACGAGGTGGTGCTGCTGGTTGGGTTTCCCGGGGAGCTGCTGCTGCGCAGCCTCAAGATGCTCATCCTGCCGCTCATCATATCGTCGCTGGTCTCAGGTGAGTGTGACGTCATATCACTCGCTGGTCACAGGTGAGTGTGACGTCATATCACTCGCTGGTCACAGGTGAGTGTGACGTCATATCACTCGCTGGTCTCAGGTAAGTGTGACGTCATATCACTCGCTGCTCTAGACTCTATCGTCAGTGTACGAGTGCGGCTTATGGTTTTATTAGTCGTCTTGGTAAGCGTGATTTGAGTATCGCCGAGTCTGGCGGTTTGAACACAAGTGTCCTCTGCGCTTCGCACTGTAAACAGCCCATTATCTGTAAAAGGAAACAATCACCGACATAGGTATACGAGTACATCATGATCTGACATACAGTCCTGTACCAAATGTGGCATATATAATTGTTTTCCTCAGTTTAGACTTTGCGCTTTATTGCAGCGATGCAAAACAAAACATTCGCAATCTAGAAAATGAGAAAAAGAAAAAAACTTGACTTTGCTGTCAGAAGCTTCAGTTTAATTTCGTTTGCTTTCCTGGATTGCTCCGACTTGTATGAGTGATGAAAGAGATCCGATGAAAACAGAGCCGAAATGGTTTCCGGTTATTTGGGAGAGATCCGGCAGCCTCTCCTTTCAGATGCTCTCAGCTCTGCGGGAATTATTCTCTCCCCGTCCGTCTGAGAATCCAGTGGCGATTCCTTGGGATGATGATTATTCGCGCCCGCAGTTTCCGCGCCGCGCCGCGCTGGACCAAGTGGGATGTTTTTTATAGTTTTTGTTTTTTGTTTTTGTTTTGCTCACGGTAAAGATGATAAATAAATTGGAACCACACTTAACTAACTATATCATAAGTTATTGTAAGTGCTGTGTGGGCAGTAAGCAGTAAGCACTGGGACCTGCAATGTCTCTAGAAATGCAAAGGGACAGCTACATCTTACAAAAGAGGGCATCTTAGGAATTACGGCCCGTTGCGTCAACCATCATCGGTCAGTAAGCAACAAGATTCAGCTGTCAATTCAATACACCCTTTAGACATGAGGCTGGCTGCATTACGAAAGTAAATTAATAGGCAGTCCAGATCCGGCGATCCCCCCCCCCCCTTGTCGCGGAGCCTCTGAGTCTGGACCCGTCTAACCGATGCAGCGTTTACCTACATCAGCGCGCTGATGGGATTGGGATTTGAGATACGCTGCGGCACAGTATCCCCCAGGCGCTGAATGCTAGTGGCATCTAGCGGCAGTGATAAGAAATAGCAGTGTCTTGCGGCACAGTATTTGCCAGGCGCTCTATGCCAGAGACATCTACCGGTAGTGGTATGAATAACTGAGTGTCTTGCGGCACAGATGTTTGCCAGGCGCTCTACGGTAGTGACATCTAACGGTGGGAATATGGAATACCAGTAAGTGCCTTGCGGCACAGCGTCTTTCAGGGGTCATATACTAGTGACATCTAGCGGCAAGCTTATGAAGTAACAGCGAGTGTCTTGCGGTACAGCATTCGCCGGGCGCTATATGGCAGTTACGTCTAGCGGCAACAACGTGAAACAGAAAGTGTTTTGCGGCACAGCATGTCAGGCGGTATACGCTGAACGGGACAAGCGCCCGGTCTACCGAAGCTGTGGTGTCGACCGCGCGACCGTTTGGGTAAAACACCCTCTACCGGTAGGAATGTAACATTTTTATTGAGTGTCTTGCAGTTGCGGCACAGCATTTGTCAGGCGCTTTATGGCAAAGATATCGAACGGTGGACAAGCGATACACATACAATTCCTGTGGCAGACATTTCTTTCCAGGCGCCATTGTCAAATAGCTAGTCCTGCGGCAGATCATTTTCAAGATCATTAGCTGTGAGTGTGACTTTTATAGCTCGTGTCTCTGTGCACCGTTTGTCCTTGTGACTGTGCGCTATTTAGGTAACCATATATGTGTCGTGACCTCTGTGAGCCCTGTATCATCCCTGTGTGAGCTTGATGACCTGTGCCCACCTACAGGATTGGCGTGTCTGGACGCCGGCGCCTCGGGCAAGATGGGCTCGCGGGCGCTGCTCTACTATTTTTCCACGACCATTATGGCGGCGATACTGGGCATCACCGTGGTGGTGGTCATCCACCCGGGCGACCCGAGCAGCTCTGGTAGCCAGCAGGAGCAGAATGCCTCCGGTGACTCCGGGGACGGCGACAACACCGTCATGGACGCCCTGCTCGACATCATCAGGTGACGTCGGACTCTGGACACCGCACAGTTCAGCAATACGAGCATACGAGCATGACAAGCTCGCTGACAGACACTTCGTGCCTATATAGACGTTATTAATTGAAGGATGTAATTATAGACGGCTTGCTCTATAAAGAATATGAGTAGGTAAATATTGAATTGAGATATGATAATCTAAATAGTACGCAGAATGCAGATATTTAACGCGGGTCTTATTTTCAGGAACATGTTCCCAGACAATTTGATAACAGCCTGCTTCCAATCGGTGAAGACAGAAGCAAAATTGGTAAGATGATCGACTATATATGTATGTAGAATATGTAGAATATGTGAGCGTGAGAGAGAGAGGGGGGGAAAGAAAGCGAGAGAGAGAGAGGGATAGAGAGAAAGAGAGAGAGAGAGAGAGAGAGAGAGAGAGAGAGAGAGAGGGGGAAGAGAGATCCTAGCCCGTTGCGCTGTTTACCTGTGCCCGTCCCGTCCGTCCCTGTATGTATACTGCGCCACACTGGCGGGGACCGGAGGCTATACCGTCACGTTATTGTCTCGGCACGGGCGGCAGTGGGACGGGTAGTTTCCGGCTGTCGGGCGGCAGAGCAGCACCACAGCCGTCGGAGACGCCTCCGGGAACGGTACCAAGCGAGATTTGTGTGCTCAGTCTGCCGGCCCGGAGACAGGCCTTTCCGACGGCAGAACGTGGGGGGGGGGGGGCAGGGGCGGGGCACTTGGATACAATCGTTGGCCGTAGTAACGATCAGTCCTACGCCAATATTGTATTGCTGCGGGCGAGTGTTTGGGCTATCTCATTTTTGCTGACTATTCTTGAGCATTTCCAACGCTTACAATATATCTCGGAGCCGACCTTTGATGATCTAGCATGAACGACGTACCTTTCACAGTATTAACCTTCCTTCAGTAGCCTACCCCACTGTTCTGAGATTTGATCTGCCTTACTATGATCTGTCATGCCTCAATGTCACCTGCCGCGACACACTACCATTGTGACCTGATATACCATTCCTAATTGTGACCTGCCTGTCTCATTGCGAATTACCCCACTCCCCTGTGACCTGAACTGCCCCACTGTGACCTGACTTGTTATATCACTTCAGGTGAATAAGACAATCGGTGAGGGCGCCGATCAGCGGCAGGTGACCAAGGTGCAGCGGGACCTCGTGGTCTCGGAGGGCACCAACGTCATGGGTGAGTGATGCGGTTCTTTCGGCGCTCTCACCAATAAAGTACTGAGTAATTATCCATTCCTACGCAGTGCTGATTAGTCGGAAAAGTTGTTGGACGAGTTGTTGGACGAATGACAATATGTATAGTAGATGTAACTTGAGAACATACATTCGATAAATGAAGGCAATTTGGGTGTATACTCGATAATTTTGATTCCACAGCTGAAAAGCTCAAGTTTGTGCTGAAGTGCGAGAGCTGGAGTGACCTCACTCTGGATGGCTACAATTTCAGGTTTGATCATCTTCTGTGTCGGCTTCGGCCTGATCGCCGGCCAGATGGGCCCCCAGGGCAAGCTGATGGTGGACTTTTTCCTCATCCTGAACGAGATCACAATGAAGATGGTCTGCATCATCATGTGGTGAGTTTCACAATACGACTGTCGATAAGCAGATAATGATCGTTACTTGGATTCGTTGGGGATTTACCACTGGGCTTCTCATTACTCTTGGTTAAATTAGAATTCACCCAACAAAAGTATGTTCGTGTGCGTGGATCGACGAACCAGGATATTCGGGATTGAAGTAGTTTTAGTCGGATAAAACCAGACACTGGTATCCGGGTAGTGACAAAAACTTGTGGCAGACGCGTGTTCAATTAAAATCCAGGGCGGCTATTTACCGGCAAAAAAAAAAGTATGAAACTCAATAAGGATATACGGATTCACTTGAATTGAGCAGAGTGGAATGAACTAAAAAAACTGATGCCGGCTGCTGCGACTGTTGTGTACCTACTTGTCTTTCTTACAACCGGCAGTAACACATACAAGTAAAGCATACATCATATGTCACTGTTGCACAATACTGACCCCTTTTCGCGCCGGCCAGGTACTCGCCATTCGGCATCTGCTGTCTGGTGGCCGGTAACCTAATGGCCATCGATAACCTGGCCGATACGGCGCGCAGCCTGGGCATGTACATGGCCACGGTGGTGACGGGGCTGCTCATACACGCCACCGTCTCACTGCCCATGGTCTACTTCTGCGTCACGCGCAAAAACCCGTTCAAGTTCTGCAAGGGCATCGTGCAGGTATGACTGCTTGGTTATAGCGTTAAGCTTACCGATATTGCGGTAGTGAGTGAGTAAGTTGTAATCTAGTGGACCAGATGTTGAGATTTGTCACTGTCGAGGGTTGGGAATAGTAAGCTGAAGCTAAGCTGAATCTACAATATGTGCTCATATATTCAAAGTGGACAAATCATGGTGATAAAGACGCTCATCTGATATCGGCTTGCAGGCGTGGGCTCTGGCTCTGGGCACTGCCTCCAGCTCTGCCGCTCTGCCCATCACCTTCCAGTGCCTGGAAGTCAACAACGGACTGGACAAACGCGTCACCAGGTAAGGATTTTTCGCCAGACATCATCGACCCACCACCCAGACTCGGCGGCTGGCTAGTGGCTACCCAGGCAAACCACCTAATCTGTCGCGGAGAGGCGACCCAGTTCCCACTTTCCCAAGCGGCTGAGGCTGGTAATACGACCTCAGATTGCATTCTCTCTTTTCATCTCAGTAGTTTCTCTTAGGAAGTCATTTCCTCTTTTCCCTGCTTCTTCAACTTTGTCAAAGTGCTTGCACTTGTCGCGCCCCTTCAGGCGGCTTAGTCGTTCAGTCTATAAACATTCTCTCTGATAAACCAATGGTCATCACTGAAAGAGACACACACTTACGTGATATGACATCTGCGATCCGCGTCGCTATATGATGATGTAATACGTATGTGTGTCGTCTATTGTAATACAATGATAGTGTGTGCGGTGCACTTCTTATTGATTACGTTTACTTATGATAGCACTCAGGACCGATCATGACCACGGTCGTTTGTAAGAGACAAATACGTGCAATGTAGCGCACGACATCGTAAGTAAATATTTCCAGAGTAAGGGGAGGTGACTGGTAAGCATCCACGGGAACTTCCGTTCGGCACCCCGCTCATATCCCTGGCCGAGCAGACCAAGACAAAGAAGTTGGCGCATTGGAAATCGGTATAATCCACATATGTAGAGTCCGGAGTCCGCACTCGTTAAATACCTGCTGTTAGAAATGAGTAGCGGCTCGGTGGCTGTTAGTCCTTCTGTATGAGATTGGCAAACGGTCGGAATATGCAGAGTAGGGTGCTGACTGCTGCCAGACTTCAGGGAGGTAAAAGTCAGCCAAATTCTGAGCACATAAGGGTATGCTGCCTCTGACAGTCGACCGAACTGTATAGTGTTTAACTGAAGTGTATAACCCTTCTGTATAGTTCGACAAAGGCTCTCTGTTGTAGACTGTAGTAAAGCTGACCCTTCAAAGTATCTCAAATAAAGTTAAGCAAAAAGTACGCCCTCCGGGACAGCCGACGGCACTTTGTGGACCGAGCACCTAAGTGCTCCATGACAGCTCCAGGTACCCGTGAGCTAAATAAAAGTACAGCCGATCGCGCTGTCGAGAATGCTCTGTGCCAGTCGGTCGAACTCCACCGAGTAGTCTCGCTGTGTTAGTCGGGCGGACTCGGCAGAGTGCCTTTTCTGCGGCCGTCGGCCGCCGCTGAAGTGGCTCCGCCTGTCGCGCGGCGTATGGCCGGCGGAGTCGGCGACCGAAGGAGCCTGCGAGCCGGCGCCGCTCGAGCCGGAGATTGGTATTGATCGCGCCAGATAACTGGCCTGATCGGAGGCGGCGGGCCGGCGGAGACCGGCAGTGTTACCTGAACGGGAGAGCGGCGGGAGGAGGAAGATAGGGAGCGGGAGGAGAGAGAGGGAGGGAGAGAGAGAAAGAGAGGAGAGCGAGGAGAGAGAGAAAGTGAGGGAATTATGAGGAAGGGTATCGCTGGCTTCTGATGGCATTATCTTTCAATTTTTACGAGTATATTCGCCAGCTCTTGAATACCTACTTGCAGGCACCAGCTATTTAGGTATATTTTTATATTTGTATTCAAGCTTTTCTATTTGATATTCCCAGAGACTCATTACGTCGTAAAGTTACGATCTTTCATGCGACTCCTGCCGTTTTATTTGCGTGGTGTTTTATGTCTAAATGTTTGTCCCCTCCTTCGTCATGTTAGCGAAGCCCTGGGTTGATCCTACTCCGTCAGATTTATTCTAACGGTCGGTGTTTTGTGTTTGACTTTTCGCCCCTTCCTCCGTCAGATTTGTTCTGCCGGTCGGTGCTACAGTCAACATGGACGGCACAGCGCTGTACGAGGCCGTCGCGTCCATTTTCATTGCACAGAAGAACAACATGAACCTCAGCATCGGCGGCCTCATCACCGTTAGGTAAGGCTGCTCAGGCTACTTTGGGCTCTATAGCGGAAAGCAATGGGCTTCCTTATGGGCTTTATGGGAAATGGTCAATGGGCATCTACTGCGACCTGTGGCCTGATTTGTAAGCCCGTGACCTGATTCGCTGATCCGTGTCCCCTCCTTCAGCCTGACGGCCACGCTGGCCTCGATCGGCGCCGCCTCGATCCCGTCAGCGGCGCTGGTCACCATGCTGCTCATCCTGCAGGCACTGGGGCTGCCCACCCACGACGTGGCCCTCATATTCACCGTCGACTGGCTGCTGTGAGTAGCATTGTAGACCATTTGTGACGCTACGGATTAGCTCTAGTGAGAACGCGAATAGGCTCTCTATAACCGCGATCGATGGTCGCCAGTAAGTGCATGCCTACATTGCCTACTACCTAGACGATAGGCTGTCTCGTGCAAGTACGTACCTACTTACATACATCAACCACCATTTACGATAGAATAGGCCCATGTAACATGTGAGTATCTCTCGTATCCAATGCGTATTCCATCCACTCATGGTATGACTCGTCTTTAGAGAAGACTCGTATCCAATTTCTATATCGCCTATTGAAGGTAGAATGACATTGGAGATGCACTGGCATTCACGCTCTTTACTACAAAAGCTAGTAGAAGTATATACTAAATATGATCGTAAGTAATATCACTTGCCTACGAAAAATCAGTTAATGTAAGCAGCCGCCGCATTTGATGCATCTATATCATAAATTCATATACCAGTATAGCGCCTTTTGGGGCGACTAACAGAGCGAGCGAGGGGTGAGTCTTGCACGTGCGAAATTTCGAAGGGGTACCTCCAACTGACTTGTGCACGGCACCCTACTGACCGGTTTCTAGCGATGTGCCAAATTTGAGCACAATCGGCCCAGCCGTTCTCGAGATCTGGGAGCGGCACCCTGCACGTGCGCACGTGCAAAATGGGTCCCAACTGACTTGTGCACGGCACCCTACTAACTGGTCCCTAACCGTGTACCAAATTTGAGCGCCATCGGTCCAGCCGTTCTCGAGATCTGGAAACGACCCCTGCAGCACCCGAACTCTGGCACATGGATATGCATTATGCAGTGCCTAGTGGGTGCCTACCTACATGCCAACTTTCAGCGCAATCGGCCAAGTAGTTACCGAGATATTGCAACAATCACAAAACTGACACCTCTTCGTTTTGCACGTGGCACGTGCATAAGGGGTCACCCACATGCATCGGGAATAGTCCAATACTTGGTAGAAGGAATGAAGCTACCCTACAAAAACTACCGCATGTAAATCGGTCAAGTGGTTGCTGAGATATAAGCCTCGCAAAAGCGTCCGCACGGCCGGCCGGGGCCGGCCGGCCGCTCATACTCAGAAATTTCCGTTAATCTAAGGAAAGACTCCGCTCGCTTCGCTCGCTCCGTAATAAGACTAAACCCCATAGGATTTGGGAATCGATCAGTAAAATGTTTTCATACGGGGTGTTGCTATTTGCTCGAAACTTGATCCGAAGCCAATATTAGCAAATTATTATCTCGTATGAACCATATACGGCGAACTTGTAAGCTTTAAAGATGCTTTAATATTTTCTTACCCCTGCATTGTTGACAGCGTGTCCACGTGCCAGTCATTTTCTCGGTAATCGCTTACTCTCCGGGCTGACGCGCGCCGTTATTTTGTTCATAACGTTGTTATGCTGTCGTTGGGGACATTTGCCTGGATCGGTTATTGGATGAGCTCGTCTAGCTCATATAGCGACAGCATACCGAATTATTCGGAAAGCGGTGTGACCTCCGGACAGTTTAGCTACTGGTCCTGGTAATCTGACCGGTATCCGTTTGTCTGATGATCGGGGCCGTCCCTGAAATCTGATAATTGGTCCTATCTCATATGTAGTCTGTACGTTAGGTGAGCGACTAAATTTTCCTGTACTCCCATGGTGATTTGTTCTGGTAACCAATGACCTCTTCAATGTTTATGTATTTCCTGTGATGAACCTGACCTTCACTCTAATTCATGTCCAATTATTTGCCCTAACCCTAATTATAGCTATGCCTACGTCTGGCGAAGGGCTGACATATTCATCGATATGTGTGGTGGCAGCTCTAAATAAAGTTTCATCGATGGGCCTGACCTCTTCAGCCGTATTCATCGGTATGTGTGGTGACAGGCCTGACCTCTAGCCAATATTCATCGATTTATGTGGTGATAGTTGTAAATGAAGTTAATTCGATATGTCTGGTGACCGGACTGAAACCCTCGATATTGCCAGTGACCTTTCACGATGGCCTCTGTGACCCCTCTGTCCGCTCTCTCCAGGGACCGTATGCGAACGTCCATCAACGTGCTGGGTGACGCGTACGGCGCCGGGATCGTGCAGCACCTGTGCCGGGACGAGCTGGCCCGTATGGACGCCGAGGCGGAGCGGCGCGACCGCGAGATGGCCGAGATGCTGCGCAGCGGCAGCGTGGCACTGAGCGGCGGCGGCCGCGGCTCGCTGCTGCCCCGCGGCTCCATCTGCCCCTCAGTGGCGCCCAGCGGAGCCATGCTGCCGCTGCGGCCGACCGGCGCCCTCTCGCCGGCCGAGGACCGGCCGCCGCCCTCGGCCCCAGCCGCCGCCGCCGCCAGGAACAGCTGGTTCGAGAAGCGTATCCCCAACTCTGAGACGCAGATCTGAGGGGTGACGGCGGCCATCAAGGGAGGAGATGTTCCCTCACAGATGACGGAAACTGCGGACATCGATGGATTCGCCCACAGCGGTTGGCCAGGTGGGCTTCATACTGCAGAGCTGATGAGAGTTTATGTCGCAGTACAGGCCGGTGCTTCGACAAATAACACTGTGGTCCTGGGGCAGACTGACTGTCCGTTGTGTCTACAACAAACGTCGAGGCACACTGGGAGATCGGTGTGATTGTACGGCATGAAAGGGAGATGTGAGGATGGTTGTCAGAGCGGTAGACGTATTTTGTTCATGAAGAGGGTCCGTAGACATTTTCCGCACATTCCACAGACAGGGTTAGAGACATATGGTACAAACAGATAGTTATATCGTTCATTGGTTACCGTTTATTCCTAACTCGGCGCAGTCCGATGCGTGTGACTGTGTACGCATGTGGATGTCCATATGTCTGTGTTTACTTGGTGGTTTATGAGTGTTGGGATGGGCTAACCCTAGCACAGCCCTGCCCTCATTTCTGTGAGATGTGTGCGTCTCTTGATGTCTGGGTCGGGCCGGGGCGGGGCGGGGAGGTGCCACGCCTGCTGGCTCGTCAGGCTGCTGGCAGCCTCAGTAGCTGGCTGCACCGGTAGGCCGCGGGCCGCAACATCCACACAGGGACTTCCACAAGGCTTGCTGATGTCTGGACGGGCCGGCGGGCCGCCTGCGGTCGCCGGCCCTCCGCTGTAGCCTAGAGCTCGGCCGGTTCGGCCCGGCCGGCTGGTGGGCGGCTCTCCCCGCTCGCTGCCGCTCCGGGCCGCTGGTCGAGCACGCTCTCTGTTAGCTAAGCCCTCTTCCCGTCTTGCTGGTCGGTTGTTGAAGGCAGGTCAGACGCGCCGCCGCCGCAGGATGCAGCGCAGACCGCTTCGGCACCGTGCTGTGCAGCTCTATATTCTTCTCTTCTTTCTCTCTTATCTGTCCTATCTTTCTTACCTCGCACTGTTTCTCTCCCTCCATCTCTCCCACTCCCCTCTCTCTCCTTCGTACGGTCGATGTTATTGCATGCTCTGAGGCAGGTCTGTTCTTGCAGTACGTGTGATCAGATCAGTCGTCTAGTGTGATTCAGTATTGTGGACCTGGCTGAATGTCTGTTTGTCTGCCTGCTGTTACGTACAGCAGACAGATTTGTCCCACAGAACGGTGTTGTGTAAATCGTACATGTGAATTGTGATTGCTGATCCAACTCGTCGCAGAAATCTCGTCGATCGCCCTCAGCCAACCTGGCTGGGGCGTTTTTATAGTGTTTACTGTTGACCTTTTGTAGCTGTTTTATAGGACGGGCTGCTACTGGATATAAAGCTCGCCGATAGCCAAAAGTAGGGTGCACGTCTCGGATGGAGAGCTGTGCCTTGTCCGTAGGTCTTATGGTGAAAATTGTTATTATTTTTCTGGTCGGCTATTGGTTTTGACGGCATTATTAAAACCTGAATCCGTACATTTCAGTATAGCCCTTGGTTTCGCGTCTGGTTTTCCTTGAAACTTCATTCAATCTTTCTGATTTTTTTAACGATTATGTTAGGAATATTTAATTGTTATACTTGTTGTTCCGTGGTGTAGCGTTGATATACACGTTAATAGTTTTCATAATAATGAGAATTTAAGGTTAAAAACTGTTTTCCTAGTTAACTTGAGCGTATTTTATTGTGATTTTCTTGTTTACTAAATAGCTTCTCGTATGACATGTTAAAGAAAAGTTGTCTTTTATATGTGTGTCAATATTATTTTAATACTTTTTTAAGGATTCGATCTTCATTTAAAAGATTTATCGTAGGCCTATTTTTATGCTGTAAAATAATCAAATCCCGTTGACGGTTAGGTACCTGGTAAAACTTTGGCGAAGGCATGTAGTCTTTCCCCTTGAAGAGTCTCCTTTTATATGAAAGCGTTACCGTTTAAAGGCACAGAGCCATAATGACAATGACTCGAGCAAAATGCCTCACCTTATATTGTATGTACATATTTACCTTTTACCTTTCTGAGAAGGATGGACGTGCAAGGAAATTGTTGATTGGAGAACATATCGCTTTAACTTGATGCCTATTGCCTACTTCCTAAAATATCCCGTTCTGAGCAACTCGGTCCAACTATGAGTTATTACCTTATCTTGGATAGATAACGGGTTCATATCAGATAACAGTATCGAATGTACGTAACGACACATATCGGTAAGGACGCGTACGGCGCAACATCATCACTGTTTCCAATGTAGTATTTTTGTATTATGCCTTCCAATCATGGATATGCTAATTTATGTTTACAGCATGGCATTGCTTTGCTAGTTTCTGATATAGGTACATAGCATTATTGTACTTTGGCGTGATCGAGGGTTGGAAGGAATCCCAATGAATTAACTGAACACTTGCATCATGAAATATTTCATCTGAATAACTCATCAGTTCAGTAGTGAGCAATCTAATCGTGTGTTTCAAATCACATAGACGACTGTTACGAATAAACAGCTACGAACTAACAGCTCCCACCATCCAAAATATATCTGTAAAAAAAAGGTTTGCTGTTCAGTGTCACTTGATGAAAGCTTATCTTAGTTTCAAAATTACTCCGCATCAAATTGTCTTATTTAACTGTGCTTGTTGAGTTTCAATTTCATCGACCATTCAAATATCACTGGGGAGCGGATAGGCTCGGATTCTAAGCTCTTTCTGTGTACATATTTGCATCATTTGCCTGTGCGCGAGCTCTAAGCGCCGCTGGGCTACTTTTTTGTGTCCGCCCTCCACCTGTCCCTCTGTTCCCATGTATTTGGTGTACGTTGACCGTCTGTGCACATACATGCGTGTCCGTGTGTGTCCGTCGGCCCGCGCGGCCAGGGCATCCGCCGTTCGCTATCCTAGTTGTGTAGCCAGCAATAGAGTGTCGGGCACGGCGGACCGCCGCTCGCCGACTGCCCAGTAGATGAGTGTCGTCCGCCGCCCGCGCAGAGCACACTGCACCGCACGCAGCACGCACATGTCGCGCACCAGCACCTGCACCTGCACCAGCACCAGCACCAGCACCTGCACCAGCTACAGCACCAGCACCAGCGTCCGCCCTCTGAGAGCGCGCGCCACGGCCGGTGGTGACGCCTCTTACGGCAGACGCCGCGCCGTCTGCATAGTCGTGCATGTATGTAGGTTTGTCATTTTCAATGCCTCGATAGCATCGAGGTAATCTCGTCATCTGACTTTATGAATCAGAGTTTCCCGCGCACACGCACAGTTGTTACATGGATTTAATGTGCGGCACTTGACTGAAAGGACATGCCATTGTACGCACAATGCACATAAATCATGATCACTGTTATTGAGTGCATACTGTCGCACCATGTTCAAAGCTCCGTGAGGTGAAAGGGGGAAATTTCTAAGTGAACCGAAACTATAACTGTGCAGCTAAGGTCTCATTTTCTCCACGAAAGAACGGGTGGAATACCTATGTTATAGCAACGGCCAACGCCCTAGTGTCAAGCACAGTGTTCCACCTTCCAAAGTGTCATTTCGAGGCCCAGTCGGTCAGCCCTTTTATTTCGGTAAAGTTTAAAGGCACCTCCGGGATAGATTGTGGAGGAGCTTTTCAACATGATGTTGCACTGTGTACCTACCGCTTTGTCATGTTTAATGTACATACAGCATATTGGGAGTGTCAAATGATTATGTGTTGCACTGCACCTTGCATGAACGAAGTGTGAAATGAAGTCTGCTTGTGAGAGAGAAAACTGTTCAAAAATTGGTCGGATAGCTCATCCTGGACTGTTAGGCCTATTGTGTGCAAATTGCTGTATAAGAATTAGCGTCAAGCTGCTGCGAAATCTAATCCAATATTTGCGCAAGGTGGGTGTCGTTGGTCACGTGAAATTGGATGTCAAGCGCCACGTCGACTTTACGAAAGAGTAACGTGTCCTCTCCTGCACCACGGTCCACACACACACACATGGGTGAAATGTAAAGCGATGGGTGTTGTGTGCACAAATATGCGTGCACCGCTGTTTGTGCGCGGTACATGGGCGTGAGTTGTGTAAAGCTAGCTGCACAAACTGGATGTGCTCTATGCTGCAGTCTCTCCACAGGGCGCTGCGTCGCCCCGGCTGTACGGAGTCGGGTCCAGCTCCGCGCGGAGCCGGTCCCAGCTCCGTAGGCCGCGGCTCGCAGCGTCGCTATCCTCTCTCGTCGTTTGGCTGTTGAGACCGCCGTGGCTGCTGTAGCCGGCGTTGGTAGTGGTAGCCGGTAGACGGTGGTGTCCTGTGTCGAGCGGTAGCGCCAGAGGGCTCGCCCTATTGCCGGCCGTTCTGTAGGTGTAGCGGGAGTGTCGTCGGACGCCCGCCCCTGTCCGTCAGACCCTCTGTGTGGAGTTGTCGGCACTCCGGTCCCGTCGAGCGACCGACTAGTTCAGCGTGGTGTGTCTGTGTGCATATCAAATTTAGCCGGCTGGCCGTTAGAAATTGGGCAGTGGGACCCACCAGTCGCACTTTCCTCGAGAAGTGACAATAGTTGTCCGCGTGTGGTTCTAGTCGACGGGCTTCGCGCGTTGTTTTCGTCGTTTTATGTGTGATACTTTGCTGTCATAATTATCACCACACACAATACCTGGGTTATTAGACTGGTATATGTGTACTTTGGACTAAAGTGATAATACATGTCTGAGTTGGACTGCTGTTTTCCTTCCAATCCGATTCGAATGTTCGAAGCTAGTTTAAGTGACATGAATTTAGTCCAGTACAGTGGCGCGGGAACCGGGGGGGCTAGGGGGGGCTGAGCCCCTCCAACTTTTCGGCTGGGGGGGCTCGTAATGTATTTGAGCCCCCCCAGCTGGAGGAATCGAAATCGGAAATCTACCAAGTACCAACACAATTTCATAGATTCATACATAGGCGCGGGAACCGGGGGAGAGGGCAGTGGGGGAAGCTTGCCCTCACAACTCTGGGGCCGTGGGGGCGGTGCCTCACAACTTTTCATGAGGCCAGGAACCGTTGGGACAGCTTGTCCTCCCTCCCCAAATTAGGGGTTGTGAGTCACAAAGGAAGAAAGCATGTGAGTGAAAAATCTACCGATTTTACTGACTCGGCAACTCATTTGGCAGCTTAACCCGCGCCCTGCTGGGGGGGTGTTTGAACACCCCCCTTGTGGTTTTTCGCGAATATCTCAAAAACGGCGGCGCGGAGCGCCGCCGTTTTTGGTACACCTTATCATACATCAATTCTACACATGTTGTGAAAATTTCAGACCAAGGTCATTCAAGGTCAGGTCACCAGGTCACTTGAAGTGACCTCACCTCATAAAAAGTTTCAATGTCTGTCATAGCTACACCGAGTGACCGATCGCTTTGAAACTTTCAGCGATTGCTAAGAGCAATAGCATGTACAAAATGTGTATCTCAGAATTTTGATATCGATGACCTAAGGTCAGGTCAATTTTGCGACCTCCCCATTATAAGTCAATGGGAGAAAATTGAAATGCGCCTCCTTTGAATGAAAGACATTATAAACACTCCCAAACACTGAATTACAAGTGGTTTAGACACACTAACCATGAAAATGGTGTCAGTGACCCCTGTTTATGCCCTGAGGTCATCTTAGGTCACGAATGGTATCTAACAGTTTTTCGCAAATAACTTTTGATAGAGGCATGCTAGAGCGATGAAAACACCTTAGATGTGTTCAGCTCGACGATACGGATCGACTGATATGCAACATGATCCTTTCCGGTCAGGTCATGACCTTGACCTGAGGTCAAATTTTCAAGTTGACCTTTCAAGGTCAAGTTATAGTTCATTCGATGCGTCTTGACGAGAGGAACACGATGCCGGTAAAAGTAAGCTCGTACAAGGCTTGGGTCAAAAGTTATTGCAGAAAAACTGTCCGAAAAAAATCGGCTATTTTTGCAGTTTTTGCCCCCTGCAGGCAAAACCGTTGACGTTAGATCAAATCTGAGAGAATTACTCAGAAAGGGCGTTAATAGGGCTATCGAATGCGCTTTTCCGCGGCGCTGTAGCTCTATTGGTTCCCGAGTTATGCGTTGGGTTCTTGGAAATTGTCGACATTCGACCTGGAAATCGGCGAAATTTTGCCTTCAATGACCTCTGGTGACCTGACCTTTGACCTGACCAAAAAATTGACCGAAGTGATTTCCTCATTATTTTTGACGCTCTTTCGAACGCCGTCTTCCGCGTATCGCTACGTGGCCCAGGAGCCGAGTTAGAAGGGGGGGGTGTTCAAACACCCCCCCCCCCCCAGCAGGGCGTGGAAATCCAGGACCCCCAGCCGGGCGCGGGTTAAAACCTTTATTCCAGGTTGCCAAAACGGTAGTTTCTTCACTCAGCTGAGACGGAATACCTCACTTTTTTTGCAAATATTTTCTTATTTTTTTCGTTGAAAAGGCCAAAGTCTGAAAAATAAGTGGCCTAAAACCGATGAGAAAACTAGATTTGGGGGTACCCTAGGTTGATCTCTATGATGGTTCAGCCCCCCCCAGTCTGGAAGAAGTTCCCGCGCCACTGGTCCAGTATGAACCGTTCAAACGCTCTAGGTGGAGTGAGTCGGGTCGTCCGCACTCTGTTGACTTTCCGATCTTAGCAAGCATTGCCGATCACAGTAGGCTCTCATGTCAGGGGCGAAACAACCTTGTTGCTGAATCGTCCTTCAAAGCTATGCTTCATATTCGGGTGAATCACTTCTGTCACGACAGACGCCGGTACCAACTGGGACAATATGCGGCCGCCCTGATAGAACACTAGGGAAGATAAATCGAGACAAAACGTATCCTTACCATACGGTACCGCATAATAAATCCAATGTCTGGCGTGTAATGGTAGTGCTTCTGAAACGAAAAGCAACGTCTTCATAAAAACCTTGACGTCATTACAGTTTCAATATATTAAGTGATCTCCATCTAAACATTTGGCACAACAATAGTAAAATCAACACTGCTGCCGAGGGGGTGGGACATTACAAGACGGCGTTTGTGTCCAAACGGGGGATTCACGGCGCCTGGCGAGCGGTCTGCCGTGTCTCCTCGACTGCCAACAGCGAGACAGGGACACGGTCAGTCGGTCTGCCCCAGTGTCCGATGCAGAGAGAGAGCGCTCGTGAGCAGGACCGAGAGCGGTTGGGTAGAGCGGGAGGGCCGACTGTTTGGGAACAGGTCAGGCGGGGTGGGGATCGACACACATACAAACACATACGTCCGCGTCTGCTGGGGACAGCGACGCGGCACACCTACCGACACAACAGCTCTGCACGGCTCTGTCGTCACACCGGACACAACCAGGCCTCGCGCCGGCGCAGAGTGCCCCGGCAGAGGGAAATAAATAACAGGTGGTGTCCGCTCACCACCAGAGCCCGCCGTCGCTGACTGGATATGTTATATGTACATTTCTCGTCCCCTCCAACGACAACATTACCACATGACTCCGCGCCGTCCACAACATTGCAATCACCCGTGGAAACGCTATGTTCTAGATCCAACGAGGGCGGCGCGTGGTCCCAGTATAAAACTCAGCGCAAAGCAATCAAAGACACGCGAGGAAAGATTCACATACTACAAGAGAGGAACAGGTTTAGAGTCCGACAATGCAGCACACTGAAAAAGTAAGAAGGCTTAGATGTTTGAACACGAGACCATGGGACTGCTGGGACGAGGTTTCCTGGTGAACGTGAATAAATAATTCCAAAATATTTAGCCATCAGTGCTGAAACCTGCCTCCGACCCCGAAACAGTCGTTTGACACAAAAAGATCTCTTAGCCCGTCAATCTGGCTACTGGGTGAGCGATCGTTATGATCCTCAGCCAGCAACACATACGAAGCAAACATTGAGTATTTTCCGCATTCGCAGTCACAATCACGGTACTGTGCTTCCCGACAATGGCAAAGACCGACACTGAACTGTACTCGGCCTTCAACTCTTAGACGCACTCAGAATTGGCTATGTAGAGTCATCAGCTCATCTCAACACCCAGAGTCGGCTTCTCTGACACGAAGTCAGCTCCGCTCTTGGCATTATCGTCCTGACTCGCAGGCGTCGTGTGAGAGATCACGTAATCTAGCTAACAACATGGACCATTGTCAGGGGAGGCGGGCTTCCAGGTGTGCTGTCAGCGCTCTTTCACAACGCCAGGCTCGACAGACATAAGTACGTACTAGGCGACAGATGCGAGGGCTCTTTCCGAGACAGCCAGCGCTTCCACGAAAGGGTGAGGTCCCGTGGGCTCCGCAGCAGCTGAGGATTCCCTATGTCCCTACGACGAAGTCACCCGATGCTTCATGGATGCAGCCAAGTCTGGCCCTTCATACAGCTCCCTGTGCCATGCGGTTCCTTGGCAACAGTTGTCTGCTCCAGTCACCGACCAGCCCTCAGCTTTAGTTGCCCATATTATAGTCACCGATCGGTCCGCTGCTTCAGCAGCTTACCGTTTCCGTCCTCCCCGGCCTAAGCTGCCTATAAGTACCTGCTAATCCTCATCGTTCCCGCGGCAGCCGGTCGGTCCTCAGACGGTATCCCGTGTCCACCGATCACCTGCCGTTTACACCAGACCGGCGGTGGGCTCAGCGGCACTAACCGCCGCTGCCGCCCCCAGTGGGGAGTACGGAGACGCCGAGTCACGCGAGGTGGTGGGGCTGGGCTGTGGCGAGAGCGCTGAGGCTCCGGCCGCTCCGGCGGCGGCCGACGCGCCCTGTTCAGCCAGCGCTGCCGGGCTCAGCAGACCGGGCAGGTCGGTCATACCCTCCCGACACCAGAGGCTGCGCATCTCCTGCCGGCGCCGCCGCATCAGGGCCTTGTACTCGGAGATCCGCAGCTTCTTGCCGTCGACGATGCAGGTACGTTTGGGCCGCGGCCGGTACCGGTACTCGGGGTGCTCCTCCATGTGCTGTTTGCTCAGACGGGACTGCTCCTCGTAGTAGGGCTGTTTTTGTTCGTTGGTCATCGCCTTCCACCGAGCACCTGGTGGCCAGACGGGGAAACTGAGCTTCATCGGGATCACACCAGGAGAGCGCATACAGTCTGGAGTCGAAACCGAGACCAAATGGATCCCAACTTGTCCATGCATTGGCTTTGCCCATATCACACGTGTGTTAAAATTGAAACTTAGATTTACACCAATCAGTATTTCACTTACCGAGTATTTTGCTAATGTTGGAGTTGTGCATATCAGGGCAGGCCTTGAGTATTTTCCTGCGCTCGTCCTTGGCCCAGACCATGAATGCGTTCATTGGCCGCTTGATATGGGGCTTGCCGCTGCTGTCCTTTCGCTGCTGGCGTATTATCTTAGCTCCAAATAGCTTAGCTGAAATAAACGGGAAAATCGGTCGTTAGAATTGCCACCTATAAAAACGGATAGGTACTCCTGTAAGCCTTCATTCGAGGACAACGATGGTGTTAGCCAATGCACAGTTAATACCAAGTTCTTGTTTTAAGTGACACACGATAGCTTTTTCACGTTTATTCTGGTCAGGACTACGGGAGGCCCTATGACATTGACAGAAGATATTATAGGTAAATATCAATCATTATATTTATTTAGCTCGGTGGGAATAAATAAAGAACCTACACGTTTTCATTCATTCCAATAGAGAGGTTCGCCAAAATGTTCACAGCCACCTCTAAACTAAACGAGATCTACCGAACCCACAAATTTCGCGTTTCCGAATAACCCCAGACGAGTTTTGCGGCACAGCATACTTCAGGCGTCGACTACCAGAGACCTCTATTGACTATAATGGAAACGAATTGTATTGCGGTGCAGTATACTTCAGGCGTCAAACACCAGCGACATCTACTGGCTGGAATCGGAACAACCACTCAAGTCCTGCGGTGCAGCATCTTTCAGGCGCCCAGTGCTGAGGCCATCTGGAGGCCAGTGCTGGGTGGAAATAAGAACACCACACGGTGTTTTAGGTAAAGTAGATATACAGTTCTCAACTTCTGCACGCATACCGTGCACGGGGCATCCGAGCTTCATTGGACACGTTACAGTTGTAACGTTTCGAGGTGACTGGCCGTGACCGAATAGCCGTGATGTTCCGGCATGCAAATTGTAAGTCACACAGAGCGGAAAATTCCGATGATTCAGGAAAAACTGCACGAGTCCAGGGATACTGTTTCTCCATGCTCTAAAAAAAAGAAATGGTGAGAAGCATCGTTGCCTCCCATTAGACCCTCATTTGCCCCCAGTCCTGGGTCTGGTTTGTGTTTCGTACTGTCTCTCTATGCCCTAAAAAAATTATTAAATGGTGCGGAGCATTGTTGCCTCCCATTAGAGCCCCGATTTGCCCTCAGTCCTGGGTCTGGTTTGTGTTTCGTATTTCCGCCACGTCATGGTTTATAGCATGTGACATCAGCCGAGCTCGATGACTGACTCCCTGGACTCAGCCGGACGTGGACTCCCACTCCGACTCGGGAAGGCAGACTCTGACGTGTCGCACCATACCAGAGTCATAAACAATTCCGTCACTGGCTGACTCGCCTGACTCTGATGACTCGACTTCACTTCCCGGGTCGAATCACCGGGATATTTTGGGCGTTCGGTCACGCCTATCAAACAGATAACCCCAAAGCGACTGTGTGCATAACACGCGCAAGCGGCGATCGAACACTTCGTGTAATGTTACTTGACTAATTCAAATAAGAAAACAATTTTGGAAATATATCCTAATATTCGCTAACTACAAAACAAGCAAAATATAATGTTGTCCCTAGCCATGCTTATGTTACATGCGTCTACCTGTTGATTTACTGGTGTAGATTTAGACCCTGTTTACAAGCATCATCACTCCCTGGTGAGGAATGAAATTAACGACAGACATCCACAGCCGCTGTACTCGTGTAAGCAAGACCACCCTACCGCCACCGCTAGTACTCACTGGTGCAGGTGGCCGCGGTTCCGAGCTCCGAGTCTGCCTTCCCTGCCTCCTCTCCAGCCCTCCCGGGCGGTGACACCATGGTGAGGCCGGAGAGGCCGTTACCTAGCCTCCCAGTCGGGTACAGCATGTGCAGCGGCAGCGGGCCGTCTCTGACGGAGGTGGGTACACCTCCGGCCAGCGAGAGCGGCAGTCCGCCGACCGGGGACGGGCCGCCGGCGACCGATGTTGGCAGATCCAGCTTAACTGCAACACGGCAACACACGCACCTTCAGCATTCTATCAGAGTGTAGCATTCAGCAAGAACCGATATAACAAACGTATTGCAAACGTAGCAAAAGTGTTTCTGAAAGACGGTGTTAGTGTTAACTACAAGTCAGTGCGTTCTACATACAAAATAAAAAGATATATCTGCGTTTAAGTCCTATTCCTTATCCTTAACCTCCGTGTTCCAGTATTATCATAAATGATTATGATAACATTAATGAATATATTGCAGACAGTAGGACATTTTGCTCACATTGGTCGACGGAGGACGGCGGAAGACCCGCCATGCCCGGCGGCAGACCGTACGGCATGAAAGGAGACGGCATCAGGGGCTGCGGCGGGAACACGGAGAACGGCGCCGCCGCCGGCTCAGGCCGCTGATGCGCCTGCTGCTGCTGCCTCTGAGAGCCTACTCCGGCCGGCGACGGAGAGTCGCGGCTCTTGGTCAGGTTCAGAGGACCGTCATCTGAGGGCAGCAGCGGCGGCGGCGGCGGGATGGACGCCTGCTGCTGCTGCTGCTGCTGCTGCTGCTGCTGCTGCTGCTGCTGCTGCTGCTGCTGCTGCTGCTGTTGCTGCTGCTGCTGCTGCTGCTGGTGCTGTTGCTGCTCCTGCTGCTGCTGCTGGAGCTGCTGTTGCTGATGATTCATCTGAGCCTGCGCCGCTGAAGCCCACGAGTATACCTGTGGAGTGTGAATTGTGAGAATGACGGGACGACAGGCATACCTATGTATCGCCTGCGGTAGTTTTATCCCATCAACGGAGCCAGCTAATTTTCTAAGACAAACTTTTTATAAAGGGTGTTGAGTGAATGGTCGACTTCACACCACACGAAGCTACATCAGTCGACTGGGCGACACTGACCGGATGTGTGGGCGGCGAGAGAGTCGATCCCGGCGCCAGAGTCGGAGTCGGAGTCGGAGTCGGTGGCTGGGCGGAGGGCGGTGCCAGTCCACGGAAGGGCGGCCCCAGGAACGGGTAGAGCAGCAGGGGGTGCGGCACGCCGAGCATCTCCGGGGGCCGGAGTCCGGCGGCCGCCGCACGCTCCAGACTGTCCTGGTGACGCTGTTGCAGAAACTGCCGACACAGTGAAGCACCCAGAAGGTGTTAGACAAATGTTGCACAAATGTTTTTGCATAACGAACTGCAGAATGTCAGGCAGGCATAGACACAAAGATATTAGCTGTAATAAGTTATAAGCAAATAATGATTGACACCGCATTGGTTACTGTTTCTATAGAAAGATAAGTCTGCCGTCATAACGTATTTAAGTTTAGGAAAATAAATCTTACCGCCAAAGAGCTTAAAGTTGCAAGGCAAAAAAAATAGCTGTCTCTTCATCTATATGTTTATTGCATTGTCTTTGCTCCGCTGAATCAGTGCATAACCAGCAGTCGCACGCTAATTACCTTCACACCCATTAGTGAATTGTACCGTATTAGCTTTGACTGATTACCCCGCACCGTAATAACATACGTCCCTCCACCGGAAGGTGACGGGTGCCACCGTCGGCGATACTGGGTCGCTGGGATCGCCGGCGATGTAGAATGCATCGGCGTTTAAAGGGCGCCGCCGCCGCCCGGCCACCAAGTTTGTCCATTATGGCTGCGAGCCTAACTTGGACGACGCTCAGATGGGAAATAACGAAGGATCAAAGGCATTCGGAAAGAAGTTTCTTACCAAAAGTTTGGTCAAAGTAGCAAAGTAGGCAGTGTTTGATCAGTTCTCTTCAAAACATGCGTCAGAAATGGCAATTACGTTGATAAGGGTTGATACGGCAAGTCTCAGTCAACTTATGCTATTTACGAACAAGGCATAATAAATGGAAAGCCGGCCGTATTGTATCTAAAATAAATAAATCAAAGATCGTAGGAGTCAACCATTGGACTTAAACCGGACACTCAACTTCAGGACCTATGAGATGTCGCGTTACTATCGCACATAAGCTCTGTCCCAAGCTAAGCGTAACACATTTCACGATTGTTGCAGTAAGTAATGGACATTAATTGGGCGTAAGGGCGCGTTACCTTTAGTTGGAAGTTATTAAAGACCATCCGTACGCCAGCGAATCTTAAGTCTTATTTTCTGCAGAATTTTATTTTCAGGAATCTTTCTTTGTTAGCCTAGTGGTTGACTCAAATGGAGATAAGTGAAGATAACTTCCGACTTATGATGGTTTCCAAAACTACTTCTATCTATATAACCACATTTTAAAGTTAATTTTATATAACTACATTTGTAGCGTTCTAACTAGTTTGTATTAAATTCCCTTGATCACTTCTAAAATTAAAAAATAAATATGAATACATGAAGGTACCTAGTACCTACCTATCTCCTATGGATAAATTGGATATTACAAACATTTCTCAGAACTGGACTACCTTCATATGCTTACTGAGCTACTGTTAGGAGCAGATGTCGACACAAATAACTTCAAACGAAAATTATAAGATAGTTAAGATAGTTTCGGGATTTCATGTAACATTTTATTATTTTATTGAGGACCTTCCAAATCATTTCTGCGGCCAGGGAAACAGGACGCTACATACTGATTTGGTGTCCCGAGTGGGCACATGACTGTTCTGCAATCAACATCTTTGTTTGACGGTTAAACGATATAGGCATTAGTCAGCAAGGACTAGCCGGTGTTTGGGTGATAAAGAAGAAAAGTGTCAGCTCTCAGCGATATCAATGACTTTGACATTTTTGAAGTTCGATGCTTTCTCATTCGGCGCCATTCCAGCATCTGCCGCGCCATTTTCTTTGTCCACCCACGGACCTGACGAACTCAGTGACACACGATCGGACACTGATCGGCGAGGTACCGGACGGGTGACCGCAGCTACCCGGCCGGCAGCGCCACCTATACCGAGCCCAGCCCTGTCCGGAGGAGGCCGAGCGACGGTCGGCCGACGGGTCCGTCCGGAAGGTCCCGGGGAGCCGGGACCGCCGGGGCAGGCCCTTGGAACTGGACGCCTCTCTCGTCTCCTTTTCTGATCGGTACGAGAGCACCTGTACATTCGGGATCGTTCAATGGATATGCGGGACGAGTAGCAACAGACTCAGAGTTTATCACACCAATATGTAATTATGATGCAGGTTGTTCATCGTCGACCTTCCAGCCTTAGCGTGAATCAGATTGATTTGGTGTAATTGATACCAGATTTAATTTTGTTAATAGACCTTATAGTATTAATGAAGCGCCATTGCTGTTTTTTTTTCAAGGCTTAGGACTGAGCTCATCAGTCACTGAATAATGAACAGTGAGCACTGAACAGTTTCCCCAGATACCGGCGGCTCGTTTCAGCCGCAGCCGCCGCCGTTGACGGACGGCCCTCCCTCCTGACAGACGCACCTTCTCCGCCCTCGGCCGCCGCGAGAGAAAACAAAAGGTCCGCCGGCCGATGACGGGCGCACACCGCCAGTGGAAACATCGCGTCGGCGAGTCATTTGCGGGGGCCGTCCGCGGCGCGCTCCGTCTCGCCGGCAAAACACGCCACCGGGGCACACGAGCGCCAGTCGAGAAAATAAACACGGCTCCCTCGGGGTGTTGAGGACGGGCGGCGATCGGCCAGCCCCCGCCCCCGCCCCCACCGCCGCCTCTGGTCCTGCACTGTGCTCTGCAACTGGTGCAAGATACGGTATGAGGCCGTCGACCGGGCGGCCGCCCGCGGGGGAGGAAGAGGAACTTCATCGAACGAACCGCAGTCGCACCCTCCGTCGGTCACAACGGGTCGCTGCCGGGGGAGGGGGGAGGGATAGGAACCGGCGATCAGCGGTGGCCGGCAGAGTGCGGAAGTCAATATCGGCAGCTGGGCAGGCGCAGTGTTTGATGACTTTATCAGGCCGCGGTAGGATGGAAAACCCCAGCTCAGCCATATCGCACAATGGATAACGCACCTGCCCTGTGGAACGTATACGGCTCCATAAGTAGATTTATTTCCAGTAAACGATAATGATCAGCACGCTTACGAGAAAAAAACGTTTATGTAGCTATGGACACACTTTTGTGCTCCTCGTTGCACATGGAACCGGATGTAGACCGTTTCCGAATCGGCGTGCTCGCAGTTCCGGTGGGCGGCCTTCTTCCAGCGACCTGCATCGCCTGCTGCACATGACTGCCAAGCACCGTCTCGCAGTGCTAGTCTGCACGCGGGTTTTGTATTGGAGCGTAACCAGTGAGGGGCGGCATCAGGAACTGGACCGGTCTCATGAGGACACTGGACAAGCCATGCCGCACACAGCCACGTGCCAGCGGATGCAGAATGAAAAACAGCTTGGTTCAGTCAGCGTTTGAGCCCAATGTCCAAAACGTTTGCCTCCGTTGACCTCAACGATACCGATGTTTTTCCTTTCGGTCGCGCGACTTTGACGCGGAGGGACCCGTACCGTAAGCAGTCCTTCGAGCAGTGCGTCAGTGGTCAAGCTGTAAAGCAAGCAACTCTTGAGTCTTTTCTTGAGTCTTCTTTAGATTTGTCTAAAAATCGTCTCATATCTCGAACCTCGCATCTCGAGCCTTTTTGCAAGATTCGCTTCTGTTGTGTTCTGCTGGATCCGTCTCCCAAGTTCTCTTCCGAGCTGTTGGTTCAGTCATCAAACCGTCTGCCGGCTCCATCTCCCAAGTCTTTCTCCAAGCAGCTTGTTCAGCCATCTGAGCCATCTGCCACGCCGTCAGCAAGTCGTCTAGTCTGTCTGACAGTCCGTCGGGCCGACTCCTGAGCCGTCGGGCCGTCGGGAGGCGGCTCTGTCCTCGGCATATCGGGACCGGACGGGGATGGAAGGGACCGGACAGCGTCCGGACGAGACGGGACGGGACGGCCATCGGCCGCCTCCCTCCCGGGGGACGGTCACTCGTGTAAACCGGCTCTGACGGATGATGATAATCCCATCTGGTGCGCTGCCGGCCGCCGGGCACCGCCGCCCCCGCCCCCGCCGCCCCCGCCCCGAACAATGACGGCGGAGTCAATGTGACAAGGCCGCCGCCGCCGGCTGCGAATGACAACGAGCCAGGGCGTCGGAGAGTAGCCCCGGGCGGAGAGGCACCCAAATCCGACCAACGGGACATCTACGGATTTGGAGATGACGGAATGTTAACCCGCGCCCCGTAGGGGGGGGGGCCGAAACGGCCCCCCCTGTCCTTTTCGGTCAATATCTCCTAAACGGCTGGAGATATCGCCACCAAACTTTCAGGACCTCTCCGGGCATCAATTTTACACATTGTGACCAAAAATTTTCCCAGAGGCTATGATAGGTTGGCCACAAATGACGTCAGAGTGACGTCATGTTCTGTCATTTTCGACCGAAAAAAGACCTTCGCGAGAAGACCTGTCAGGCCTACAGCTTTGAAGATACAGAAAAATGATCAAGACATAAAAGGTGTAGAATTGACAGGGCTACAAAACTGCTATCTTGGATTTTTTAAATTTTTGAGTTTTGACCCCCAAAATTCAAAAAAGTACTTTTTTGGATATATTAGCCAAAAAATCCAAAAAGTTTTTTGAGTTTCGAAAAAAAACGGAATATATGTGATAGTACCTACCGTCTTCTATCTACATACCAAATTTCAGATCGATAACTCGTTTTTTGGCCAAGTTATAGCGAAAAAACTGTTCAAAAATGATGACGTCAAATTTTCAAACTCAATTTTTGGCAATTCTAGACCTCGTAGAGCAAAACAAAGACCACCATTAGACTCCCCGTGACGAGCTGCATCGAATCGATACCCATTTTATGCAAAAATATCAACTTTGAAATTTGACCTAATTTGACCTGACCTTGACCTGACCTTCACCAAAACGTGACCTAGGCTGGCCCCAAAGGCTGCCTAACCCACATAATCGCATTTGTCATGTAAAATGGACCATAAAACATGTATCACACGACACTTTCATATTGTGACCCCCGGTGACCTGACCTCGCTGTGACCTGACCTGGTATCAGTGACCTCAGATAGCAAAGTATGTGTTTGACGAACAATGTACCATCGATGGTTTTCAATAAATTACCAATTTACTCGATTTCACAACACATTTCTTGAAATGCCTGTGAACGGTGAAAATCTGACCTTTGACCTGACC